TAGGTGAAAGGGCCTTGCCTCCATCAAAGTAGCAGTCACTCAGTTCTAGGCCAGCTACCCACTCAGGGTTGAGAACTCTAGAGAAACACCTCGTGCATTCTTTGCTTGAGAAAAACACAAACTCTTCCACTAGCACAATATGGTGACTTGATCACCATGGAGAGCGACATGGGGTGAGAGGGCGGGGGGGCTGACCAGGAGAGGAAGTCACCAGAGATCTCAAGTGCTTGCAAGCAACTCTGCAAGCACATTTGAAGCAACCAAGACCTGTAAGAGAAGGAGTGAGTGTCTGAGGGAAATAAGCCTAAGATTGGAGCTAAACATCATCAAGATTAAGGTGAGGTTCACAGGCATGTCTTAGAATATTTCTTTTTTTTCTCTCTCTACTAAGAACACTAACACAAGAACATGTACATCTAGAGCTCTCAAGTATGTATCTTTGAGTTACAGAGTTGCAGGCTAGGTTAAAAAACAGGAGGATGTGAGGGGGAAGAACTCACATCAGGTTGGGGAGGGTTGTTGTTCGAGTCCAAATCTCCGCACATTAGCATGCTCGGGACCTCCGTGGCTCTGCCTAGGCACCATGGTTGCCGAACTCGGCACCTCGGTGAAGCACGCCGCCGCGGCCGCCGCCGATGACCTGCACACATCAGAGAGGGGTGAAGTAAGGGAAATCGAAGGAGAAAACCAGTAACCACAGAGATTTATTTTGTGTAGGAATGCTTAGAGAGCCTAGCAGTCATGGTCGTCGATCTAGAGGAAGAGGAAAGGAAGCAGAGAGAAGAAAGGGAGAGAAGTGCGTGCGTTGGTCACAGGGTTTGTTGACCTGCTAGCTGCTAGTGCTTTTGGGCTCCAAGGCAAAGTAGTAGTACTAGTACGGTGGAGGGCTTCAGGTTCAGCTCACATGAGGATAAAAAGTGCTTAACCATACAAAATTAATTTAATGATTCACTAAGCACAGCTATGCAATCCCTATTTTATAAATCACAGCACAATGGATACTAATTACCAGGAAGCTATTTCTTGCCTGCAGGATGAACACATGGCTATGTATGTGCTAAGTATATATACTCTTTTTCTATCTTGCTAAATACCAATATATATTTATACTAATTATAGGAAGCGAGCAAAATCAGGCGTAGGAACCTCCAGCGAACCAAACTGAGCCCGAGTTGAATCTTAACAACTCAGGCAAGAATCCTTGATCATTTTCTCCTTGAGTTTTTATACAAAGTTTAAGAAAATAAAAGTAACCTGCATTAAATATTACTTTCTAAAATTAACTATGGATGGATGACATTTGAATTTGATGACATGGGGTTAGCTGATGGAGCAGCTAATTCCCTACTGTATATTTGGATGGAAAAGTTTGGTAGGACTAATAACCAACTCTCACTTTGTGTTATTGGGCCATATAAATTCGTATCAACCATGAACTCGTTTAGGACGGGCCGATTCTAGTACACATGGAGTTGTTGTATAATCCCTATGGTAAGTGAGGAGAGGATTGGATGATAAAATCCCCAATCAGACGATGAAGCACACCCAGACGCATATATTAGCGCACGTGGATAGATGTGGATGTATAATTATACGAAATGGGGAAAGTTCGATATCTTGACCATGAGTCGCACCGAAGGAAGTGCGATGGAAAATTGGTCAAGGCAATTATGGCTAAAGTGATACAAACCTGCGCAGGGTAAAATCATGAATTCATGTCATATCTCTTGGATCAGAGGCTACGGGAACCTATGGGTGGCTCTTTCTCAAGATACAAGTGATAGTAGTGTTTTTTAAACTAAACTGACTTTTTCTACAAATGTTATTTTGAACAGCAAGATGATATATTATTGATCATTTGAGATGACTAGATTGCATTGCATTGATATTTATATGCTTGTTGATTACGTTGTACTCACTCTTGTTAACTCTCCCTCTTCAGAAGATCCTCAAGAATGCGCACAAGGGTCTCTAGATGATGGCTATGCCTATGCAGATTGGGATGACTATGAAGAAGCTAGTCGGGTTGCTGCCACCTCCTATGGTGGATGGGATGAATAAATGATCCCCTTAGTTCAGTTATGTATGTCAGAGGCGATATGTCTTTGCCACTCACTTAGTAATCTAGTTTGGACCTCTATATGTCGGGCTTGTAATAATGCACAAACATATGACGCTTCTTTAAAGACTTAAGTGCGTAGAATGATATTGTAATAATTATTGGTACCCTCTAGCTATTCTCCGTTGCCAACTTTGTTATGGTTTATTATTCGACAAATCTTGTATCTGTTGAGTGATAAATCATAGGCCAGGGTTATTATTTATAGTGGTAATGACCCGGGTCGTCACACATGTGATGGGTATGTTTAGGAATTAATTCGCCTACTAGAATACTTTATAATTTGGGAACTGCTAGCGCCTGGACGTCCGCTCCGGGCACTAGCATTCAAAAGCTCGCGCCAGCTGCGCCAGCTTCATGTGGAGGCCCACGTCGCTCCATTTCCCGTGCATGTGCATGCCCACACAGGGCTACGTCTCGATCTGCGCCCGCTCTCGTTTTCCGCGTCTGCCGCTCGTGCCCCTCCGCTCCCACACGCATGCACGTGAACCCATCAACTGCAAGCAGGTGGCTGTGGCAGGTGGGTCCCACTATAACATTCAAACATCTGATCTAATTTTGTAACATCCAGATGAAACCTTTGCAATATACGTCTAAAACAGATGAAATATTTGAGATATACAGTTGAAACACCATTGCAACATGTGCAACATCCTGATCCACTTTGAAACATGCAGATGTAACACTTTCAATATACAAAAGAAGACAGATAAAACACTTGAGACGTGCGTCTGAAACACTTGCAACATACGTGTACAAAAAACAGATAAGACATTGGGGATAGACGCTTACAACATATGTGTACAGCTATTGCAACATATGCAACATCCTGATCTACTTTTGCAACATCCGCATGAAAAAATTGAAACATACATATAAAACAACTGAAACACTTGAAACATAGGCTTGCAATATGTCTGAAAAGACGTACAGAAACACTTGAAACACAGCATCGCCGCGCGGCGATAACCTACCTAGTGGGGAACCGCGGTGGCGCAAGCCTCCTCTTCCTGCCGACGACACGAGGTGGATGGGGGCGTAGGCCTCCCCTGTTGCCCCTTCCGCGACGGGCGAGGTGGATCGGCGTGGCGCTAGATGGTGGCATTCCCGATCTTGTGCTAGCACGATTTGTCGCCGCTCCAGTGGAGAAAGTCGTGGCGCGAGTTGTGAAACATAGCATTCGCTTACTAGAATACTTTATAATTTAAGATAAATTTTGAATACTGCTTCAATATCTTATATCTCAAGACGGGGAGTGTTAAGGAGTAATCGCTTAATTCTTACCAGTTGGGCGATCTGCTTGATCTAGCTTAGTCGGTGCATCTCGCATGAATCTAATTTATTCTTATTAATATATGCTGGCATAAACTCCGGATCTTTTTTTTAAAAAAAAAGTAATGGACTAGCCCTGTCAAGTAGCTCAGATATAAATGACCTGCATTTTGTTCCTCTGCCTGGTCCACAAATGAAAATGACCACACAGACATGGAACAAAGAAGTCGAGAACAAACTAAAAACAAGGAAAACTGTTATGGCGCGTTACACAGCTGACACAACTTTTTGGAAGCGGAAAGAAAAGAAAAAAAGATGTAATTGAGCTAAAATTCACATACATAACCATGCATGTCAAAATCCAGGTGCTGTGCTGAGGTGCATGGGAAGGAAAGCCGACAGTCATCTATGAAGCTGAAGTTTCACCTGAAAACAAAAGCTCATCATCACTTTGAAAAAAAAGGCCGTGTGCGTGCGTGCAAGGAACTCTGGCTGAGATCTCGTGGGACCCACCATTCATTCCTGCCGACAGTTAACCAATGATATATGGTGATATGGATATGGATGGTTCCCTTTTTTTTTATCATTGGATGGTTCCTTTTCGTTAGTATTAAGCACAGCTCTTTGAAGCTGCTTTGCGAGTTGCGGCTGCTGCAGCCTGCACGGTCAAGTGCTTCCTATACATGTTAGTTGAAGGTTGGTGATGAATAATGCATCAAGCTTGCTTAGGGCACGTTTTGTTTTTTCTTTTCCCCACGTTACTCGCAAAAAGAGCCAAATTGGCTAGCATAAAAAAATGAGAAAAAAAACTTGTTTACACAATAATCGACACAACTAGCAAAGCATCTAAACATCGTGTGTATTGCTCTAACTTCTTAGCACTTTACCTGCCACAAAGGTTTGGCAGTTGCTTTTTTTTTTTTTTTTGAACATAGTTGCTGTTGCCACACACAAAAATAAAATTAAAAAAAAAGGATTGATGGAGCATACTTTGCCTGGGCCGGCGAGCTTTATGTTTTGGTACAAGGGTTGGGCCACGCAGAGAGGTGGTTGGGCCTCCCCACGATATTAGGCTGCACTCACGCATCGAGGTAAGCCCAACAAGAAAGTCTGGCTCGCGAGCAGGCCCAACTTAATGAGTTACAATAGAGACTAGATCGGCCCATCGCTGGCAACAATTTCCACTCCCCAAATTTGCCGGTTCAAACACTTCGCAACAACTGTCATTACATATAGAGCCCTATATATATAAAGGCTAAAAGCGCACAATCACACACGTAATAAGAGCAAATATATATGGTATAATATATATTGGTCATACAAAAAACACATCCGATCCTTGGGGGATAGTCAAAGTTACACGCTCCCTCGAATTTCATAGTAGAGTAGACTTACATAGCACATCCCAAACTCATCTTCATCTCAACACCAATTATTCACTTTCATTAGGCTTACCGAATAGGAGATTAACTCAGCTAGTAATATACTGGTATAGGGTAGTGTAACTCTGGCTCTGTGCCTCTGTCCATACCAAAGCCACAACCCATGCACTGCACGTCCGAGTTGAGTTGCACGTGCGCGCGCCGGGCTCCCTCGCCGTCTACGTGACTCAAAGTCCGCCACCGATGCCACCGCCGGCACCAGCACCAGCTCCTCCGCCGAAACCACCGCCCGCTCCGCCGCCGCCGCCAAAGCCTCCGCCCGATCCGCCGCCGAAGCCACCGCCCTTGCCTCCTCCGAAGCCACCACCTGCGCCTCCGCCAAAACCGCCGCCTTTGCCTCCTCCGAACCCGCCACCGGCACCACCGCCTGCGCCGCCACCTCCGCCAACGCCGCCTCCTTTGCCTCCGCCAAAACCGCCGCCTGCTCCGGCACCACCTCCCGCGCCGCCACCAAGACCACCGCCAGCACCTCCTCCCGCGCCACCGCCAAGACCACCACCTCCACCGGCACCGCCCCCAAGGCCACCGCCAGTACCTCCTCCTGCGCCCCCACCAAGGCCGCCACCGGCACCACCGCCTAGTCCACCTCCTCCACCGGCACCGCCACCAAGGCCGCCTCCTCCGCCTGCACCACCTCCAAGACCACCGCCGGCACCACCACCAAGGCCGCCGCCTCCGCCTGCACCACCTCCAAGGCCACCGCCTCCACCAGCACCACCTCCACCGCCGAGGCCTCCTCCTCCGCCTGCACCACCACCAAGACCACCGCCTGCGCCACCTCCAAGGCCACCGCCTCCACCAGCTCCACCTCCACCACCGAGGCCACCACCACCGCCAAGACCGCCACCTTTCCCGCCTCCAAAGCCGCCACCTTTGCCACCGCCAAAGCCACCTCCAAGGCCGCCACCATGTCCAGCCCCGCCACCAAAGCCACCACCAGCACCGCCACCTCCCCCAAGGCCTCCTCCTCCACCTAACCCGCCACCTTTCCCGCCACCGAACCCACCTCCAAGGCCGCCGCCATGTCCGATCCCTCCGCCAAGACCTCCACCAGCACCACCACCTCCACCGAAGCCTCCGCCGCCACCTCCTCCAAGCCCAAGGCCGCCGCCTTTACCTCCCCCGAATCCGCCCCCGAGTCCACCGCCGTGGCCAAGCCCCGCACCGAAGCCTCCTCCGCCTCCGGCACCGAAGCCTCCGCCGCCGCCGCCCAGCAGGCCGTCCTTCTCCAAGGTGCGCGCCTCGGCGACGCGGCAGGCGGGCACACCGAGCGCGACCACCACGGCCAGCGCCGCGAGCGCCGCCGCCCACACGCGCTTCCCCATCGTCGCTCACACCACACCGACGCCGACCACACTCTCTGATGGTGAGATCGATCGACCAATGCAAGCTAAGCTGGCTAGGTACTGGTGCTCTGCGAGACAGGACTGGAAGGTGCAGGGTGTTTATATAGGAGGGCAGGCGGCAGTGCAGGTGCAGCAGCTCTCTAGCTGGCGGGGCGGATCGTAGTAAATGTGGTTGGTTGGGACGACGCTGCGCAACGCCGCAACCATGCATGTTGTGTGGTACAGCTTGCGATGGATCGGAGGGTGAGGTGAGGGTCTGATCGATCAGAGCGCGGCGGCGACGATCGACACAGCATCTTCCATGCATGATTGGTGATATAGCAGGGACGGGCCCACCGTGCCGCGGCGGTGCATGACAGTGCAGTGGGAGCTGTTGAGATAGGCTAGGCCGCGCGCGGAATGGAATGGAAGGAATTGCTCCCTCCGTCTCTGTGGGTTGATTAATTTGACGGACGGGTGGGCCGGTGAGCGGTGATCGAGTCGGTGGTGTTGCGGGCGGCACGCACGCAGCCGCCGGCGCTCCTCATCTCATCCAGCAGTGGCACATGCATGGACTGACTGCTGAGACGATCGAGTTGAGAGTTGAGAGGCAGCATTGCATCTGCATGGCATTTATGACCACGCGCTCGCTGCTCGTCTGCTCAACCGACTCGCGTACGGCCAAGTCGTCTCGGCTGCATGCATCGTGTGCATATGTAACGTGCATCATCAGGTGCCTGCATTGGGTGTACTGCTAGGGAGTCATCTAGCTAGTGTCTAGTACTCTAATCTGTGTGCCGATCGAGATGCATGTACTGCTGTGTGGTGGTTCTGGTGTGCGTACCTGCACGGTGCTGCATGCATGTAACGTGTGACTGTGTGTGAGGAGAGCATTGAGACTGCATGCTTCTACCGTTCTAGGGACATGTTCCTGAGTTTGGCCCTGTTCGCTTGGGTTAGAGAGCAGTAATAACACTACTTTTATATTTTAGGTGCCTGATTTTGGGGCCATTATTGCTGAGGCAACACACAATTTGTATCATTGTTAGTCTATAGAGAAAAAATATATATATGATTTGTCTCTTATAATAAGTTGTCAATTTAATTATACTAGTCGATCGCGTAAGATTGTTACTTAAAAATTTTGTAAAAATTCAGACACTTGAAATATAGTAACTTCAGTAACAAATATGAAACATGTTGTTTATTTCCTCTAAAGGCCTTATTTGAATGCGCATGTATTCATCTCAATCCATATGTGATGAAGTGGAGTGGAGTTTGAATTGAATTAAATTATATTATATTCCACTCCAACACACATAGATTGAAGTGGATACACGTGCATCAAACAAGACCGAAAGGGAAATCCGCTCGATCTTGTATTTTTACCCTTCATTCAATCCCCTTTACAACTTCTTTATGATCCTCCAGCCCCCTTTATCACTTGTTATATGGAGATGCTCAAGCAAGCACACCCGGCTTTCGTCTTTCAACGAGTGGCTTGGCATGTACGTATTCATATGCATTATTCATGCCTTGCCCTCCATGCACGTACGATAACATCCTCAGCAGTCAGCACTGTCTCAGCTCACTGTGTGCAGGTAACCAGGTATGGAGCTGCACGGTGGAACGTGGAATAGTACTCGCATTTATTTATTAGCTTGGGCAATGAATTTTTAGAGCTACCGTACCAGGTTGCAGCCTGGCCCCGAGACGAATTCCACGCCACTGTTCACCATTCATAACGTGCAATGCCAACCACATGCATGGCCTGTGAGCGACGAATTCCGCACAAGCACAGCTTAGAAGAGCAGCTTCATCTTTCTCATTGATATATGGCGTTCAGCCCGAGCCACGCCAACGCATGCATGCATGCATGCTGTGCCGCGCCGAACTATCTGTGTGCTTGTGCACACAGCTTAGAAGAGCAGCTAGATCCATCTTTCTCCGCGTACCGACTGTCCCGGACTACAAAGGAACAACGATCATCCCTTCCAAGCTCCTTTATTAGATCCAACGAAAGGAGACTACCAGTGTGACAAAGGAACTGTGCTCCCATCTCAAACAAGAAAGCAAGCAAGAAAGAAAGAAATTGTGCTCCTATACAAGCATAAGAAAAGGCTGCAGGCCAATTAATTACGGGAAAGCGCACTGCTACATGCTCGACGGCATTTAATCCCAGCACCCCTCTCTCTCACTCTCTCTCTCTCTCTCTCGGGCCTTTGGGCCGTCGCAGCTGTTAGCCACACTGACACACTACTGATATTTATCACGTGATGACCACCCTCAACACCGATGGTGGTCAGTAGTGTTCACGAATCACAACAGCGGCACATGACAGTTCCTAGCACATTCTCAGTGGAATTTCATTTCATTGCCCAGGCATCGGGTGTTAATAAGCAGAAGAAAAAAGGTTCTGAAACCCAAAGCGCTTGAATACAAGCTCCCAGGCTCAAGGATTGTTTCAGAGAGCAAACTCGAAATCAGAGGTCTCAATTGTCAATTTCAATTCCCTCTCGTCATGAAAGGAGGACTACTTCTAAATTCTAATTTCTCAAGGCCGATTGCACGCAGACAGTGTCGCCAAACCACTGAACCTACCTCCCCAAGAAGCTTGGGGAGGATACAGCTTCTAAAAAACAGATTACGTACCTATGGGAGGAATTACCATAAGAGAAAGAAAATTGATACTCGACGACACTGAGATTCAACTGAACCCCTCAGTATTCGCCTCATCGCCTTTTCTTCGTCTTCGCATTTGAAGCAGGGGCAGAGTTCTGCTCGGTAACCATCTTTATAAGATTCACAAGGGATCGCAACCTGTCCCACACGCTATAGCCATACAAAGTCTCCACAAGCAACTGCTGGAACTCAAATCCATGCTCTGAGACAGGATACTGCAAAAAATGATAAGCAGCTAAATATCAGGTCCGCAAGAACCAAGTAAAACCGTGCAAATCAGACTATTTATTATATCGTGGGGATTGGGGAAGAAGTAGACCTGGATAGGTTTCGGGATCACTGTTTTAATATATGGCCACAATCTATCTTCTACAACAGACTTCACAAGGCAGCAAGCTCGCAAGCCTTCTACACCAGCAAATCTCCCAAACCCACTGTCTTTAACACCACCGAATGGCAAAGACTGCAGCCAGAAACACAAATAAGCATACATGCACTGCCAGTGTAACACAAAATGTAAAAACACAATATAAGCATGATGTGAATATTGTATTACTTAACATATAACGCTAGACACTACAGGATGTGTGAGCCTACTAGAGGAAAATTCCAAAAGACATAGCTTCATATCATCAGCACCATGCTTCAAGCACGGCACATTCCTCCATTCAAATTAGAAGGGCCAACTTTTCTAAAAACACAAGTGAAATATGTTGACATCAGAAATAAAACCATATATACTATGATAAAGTTAAAGGATTGTATCACATATCAAATGACTATAATTTGAATGTTAGACTACTCTTAACCAAGTTATGGATTATGGGGTGTTAGCTAGTTATATATATTTATAGTTGGGTCACATTTTTAAATGCAATAAGACCATTAAATATATTAATTTTTGCCAATTACATAGAGGGGGGGGCCGCGAGACGATTTTTTTGCCTAATTAATCTGTCATTAGCGCATGTGATCATCAGCACCATGCTGTCAAATCATGAACTAATTATTCCAAATTAGAAGACGCTTTTGCTTTTCTAGATACATTAGCTTTTGTTATGCAATTAGATATACACCATTTAGATACATAGTTAATACTCTATTGTATCTAGAAAAGTCAAAGTTCTTATAATTTGGAATGGAGGGTCTAAAGAACAGACAGAGCATGAATTACACACTTACCTGACACATGTAACTTGAAGCAAAATCATTGATTGCTGCTACCCCACAGTGTATTTGGGATGCTATTCTGATGGCACGCTTCTGGTTGCCAGAAAAAACAGCACAACCAAGACCATACTTTGAGTCGTTTGCAAGTTTGATAGCCTCTTCATCGGAACTGAATTTCATGATTGGTAGAATCGGTCCAAATGCCTGTTGATCAGCAACTGACAATGTTAAGATTAACACTAGTATCACTTGTACTAAAGAAAATCAAAGATTGACTCCAGCTTACCTCTTCTTGCATAATTTTCATTGTGTGATCAACATTCACCAGGACAGTTGGAGGGAAAAATTGATCAACTGAGTCTTCACTAAGATTACCAAAGCTCCCTCTGACGGCAATTTTGGCACCTTTGTCTAGAGCATCATTAACAAGACTGAAGTTTCTCAGAGTTCTCCATCATACAGATTGCACCCATGTCATATCTGCCTGATAATGGGGGACCCTAGAAAAATAACAAAGGGGCAAAACATGAGTACTATCGCAAAAGTATAAGTGTCAATAAAACAATTGAAAAAATAATTTCATCGGTATCTAAAGATGTTGCTGATAGACCTATGGGTTATCTACTGAAACTGTTTAGGGTCGCCTATTAAATTAAGATAAGCTGCAACTAACAAATTTCATGTAAAACATGAAAAACAAAACAATATGGAATGAAGAGGTTAGAAATGTGAAAAGTATACCCATAGTCTCATGTGTTAATTCACATATTTGCATTTGTTTGTAAGACACTATGACATAGCATTATAGCAATAACAGATAATAATACAGAAATGACAGCACAAGGTTGTGATCCTGTAAAGCAGTAAGACACTCAGAAGGTAAGGCAATAAATTGGCGCAAGGTAATTGGCTGCAAAATATGGCTGTTACAACACATATAGATTTGACTATCATCACTACTTGTGAAACAAAGGCAGAATAGATGTCGTTGTGAACATAAAATCTTTCAGCACCAGCGCAGTTCTGCCCACTAGATTGTAGAGCAGCTCTAACAGCAACTTGAACAACCTTCAAACAGGAAAAGACAACAGATTAGGTCCAGTACACTGCTAGGATTTGAAGAAAATATGATGTTCATGGCATAGGCAATATAAACTCCCTTACACTAGGTAAATCTACATCTTCACACACAATAAATGAATCTTTACCACCAAGCTCAAGAGTTACAGGTATTAGAGTCTCTGATGTCCTTTTCATTATCTGTATTCTGTAATAACACATAAAACTGAAGACTTTAGAACAGAGAAATGATAGAGCCATAGACAGGAAAAACTGAAGACGGCGTTATTCTTCCACCAGCAAGGGCGTGCAAACGAAAGGGAGAACAGGATGGCAATTGTCTGATGAATCTTGCTTCGTTGGAGATGGAGGAGTTTTTTGGAAACTGTTCAACAGCCTGTGTGCTGATACTGCCAGCTGGGCATATGTAATAAAGGATAGTCAGGGTGCACTTGGTTAAACTCTCGGTTGGGCGGGTGCCGGTTTAAACTTCGGTTATCGTTAGTTGGTTTTGGTCACTAGTTTTGAGCCAGTTGGGTGAACCCTGTGTGTTCATTTCAATGCGGTTTTGCGTTAGGCTCGGTTTTTCTTTCTCTGTTTGAACAAACTATTGTAATTTCGTTGCTTTCGAGTAATGAAATTCGGCTATGCCATTGTGGAAAAGAAATTCTATTGTAATACTGGTACCTAAAATGGCAGAAAAGTATATGCTAGCAGACAGTTTCTGGCAACATAATTCCTTTACAAAATAGATGCACATTGTGCTGCAGATATAATATCTAATATACATGTTTTGTGGCAATTGGTCATGGTCTATCTGGGCAGCCAAGGAGGATAACTATGAGCAATCAGTTCACTTAGCAAGCACAAAAGGCATGTTCATAGGTTAGACAGAATCCACCAAACCATATACTGAAAAATAAGAATATTAATCGCATGAGCTTAAGCAAACACTACTTTAGATGAGAGGTATACCATTTTTCCAACACCAGGGGATCCCACAAATATTATTTTGTCCACTGATGATACAAGAGCTTGGCCTGTTTCCGCAAAACTAAAAACAAACAAGAAAAACAGAGTCCAGGTAAGCAATGTGCATCTAGCCTGCAAACTATAGAAAGCTGCATTCATCATACCCAGTTATTATGTGCACCAGATTCTCAGGTGCACCAACAGCTGAAAGAGCTGCTTGTATGATACGAAAATAAAAGCAGCCTGACCAACTTGCATATTCTGAGACCTATAAAAGGTCAATTTACCAATCAGAATAATCTTGAATAATGTCTAATGTACATCAGAAATCAGATGAAACATATTTTAGAGGACACCATAATGTCTATGCATGGCAGAAAGCTGTATATATAACATATAAATACATTTAGCTTAGAAAAACAAGAAAAAAGTTAATGACACAATTGTACGCAGTGTTGCCACACTACATTCTTTCTTGAACAACTCAGGAGAGCTGTGTGTCATTTCATTATGGAGAGGAAAATAACAGAGAGAGAGAGAGAGGCAATTCTATCAGAATTCAGTAGAAATGAAAAGATCCATCCAATGAAAGCTTGGTAGAGAATGTTCTGCGTTTATTTGAGAAGGGTGCTTTCTATGAGCCAACATATGTTCAATACGCAATTTACTACTTTCTAGAAGATTATTTTAGGTTAACTCAACAAAAGGATAATTAGAGATACATCACATAAAAAATCATAGCCCACAGCATCAATGGTGGCACATAAAACAGGAGATATCAAGATTGCTGAATAACAAAAATTGATCTATGAGACCACGATGTGTACATGAAAATGGTTTGTTAAAGAACAGACTAGACAATGTAATTTCAGGGATTTAGACCTTATAGTATTTATAATTAGAAAAAAAAAACAATAGGCTCCAGAGCTAGGGCCAAGCACCAGTCAACGAGTCAAGGTAATAGACTATTAACAAATAAACAATGTGCAAAGAATAAAAAGCCTCATTCTGGTGCTAGATAATGATGCTACCTTTATAACTGCTGCATTACCGGAGAATACTGTGGCCAGCATTGGATTAAAAACATTATGGAAGGGATAATTCCAAGATACAATCGCACCAATCACTCCAAGAGGGTAAAACTCAACTTTTGCTCTCTTATGCAGCATTGATCTCCCAGTAGATCTGAGCAACAGAAAAAGCAAGCATCCCAACAATTTATTTAATCGGAGGCACATAATAAGAAAAGAAACCACTACTTTTACTTTGTAAAAAAAACATCATGTTAAGTAACAATACTACGGGGCATCAAGAAAGGAATACAAAGTTCTAGGCAAGACCGCAAGAGTGAGCAGAAGTTGCAGAGTACCAACTATTCCAGATTTTATCATGTAGGCCCATTACCTTAAGTACCAAACTTTATTTTGCCTTAAGGTGTTCAATTCCCAGTGTCACCCATACAAGCAGTTATTCACCTCTACCAGCAAGGATACAAGGTCCTAAGTTACTTTTCCATCATGTAAGAATAATTTTGAGGACTCTAAACTGTATTCAGGTTTCAACCACTTCTCACCCTCGTCCAAAAGCCAGGTAATCTTCTCACATGTGGTCATTATCTCGCATAACGAAGCATCAACCATAGTTTTTCCAGTGTCCCGAGACGATACCCTACACAGCATAAACAGATTTGAGTTCACTTCTCCAGATGTCAAGATGTGTGAAGAAGTTCGACAGAAGTTGGGACCTTACTCGCATATGAGATCCTGATGTTCAAGAATATACTTGAGAAGGATTTGAAGAAACTGGCGCCTTTGCTTGAAGCTGCTTTTTGCCCATATCTTTTGAGCTTTCCTGGCTTGTGCAACATGTTCGTTGACCTGATTACCGAGAGAATTGGCCACAATCAAACCCAAATAAAGAAACGTTAATGAAGTTCGAGTTCGACATACTGAAAGAATACTGCATCTGTTCCTCAACTATTCGCCGGTTAAATCAACAAGGGGTGCACCAACCCTCTAGATAATAGACAGAGGCGGAAATGACAATGCATGACTAGAGAGAACTTAACTAAAAAAACAAGGCAGCAACATACCTCGTCAGGAGTCAACGCAGGGAACTGCCCCAAGTATTTCATGGTCGCTGGTTCATAGCATTGGACCTTGTCAGTCTGAGCTGCTTTACCCTTTCTCGTTTCTGCAGCAGTGGACAAAGTTAGAATGGATGATACATTCTGGCAATTGATAAGCGCAATGAACAGAAAACAAATTGTCATTCTGAGGACAACTATTGTCATGGCCACAACAGGACATTTCAAACAAATGTCAGTGATTCAGCATCAGGTGGAAGCAAATCACTGCTACACTTGCAGAGAAAGCCATGCCTAGCCCTTTCTGAAACCTATATGAGTGCAGATAAGACTCAAAGTTACCGCAGGCAGGTACCGTTCTCTTATCTTACATACAGTGCTGATTGCTGAACCACTTTGAGGCTAAGATCTAAACCGCATTAATAATGGAAGTTTAAACCACACTAACGTATTACATGAGTTACTTGTTGAGAGCAGATTAACCGGATGCAGCGGTACTAGTACAACAGAATCACAATGGAATGGAACATTGCTTTGCTTCCCAGGCTACCTCAACTCAAATCAAGAGCAACTAAGTGGACAGGCGCAGAGGGGCAGGGACTTACGTAGATGAAGCTGTCCTCCTTGGCCAACACTGCGCCAAATCAGAAACACATGGAATCAATAAACCCTCACAAAGCCCTGCCCAGCCTTATAGAATCCGAAAGAATAACAACGGCAGAAGTAGTATAGTAATGAGACGAAAACGGGAGAGGGGGCAGTACCATCGGAAGCGTCGACGTCGATGGATGGGACGGTGGGCGGAATGAGGAGGAGGAGCAGGCGGCAGAGCGCGTATGCGGCGGCGAGCACCAGCAGCGGCCACCAGAAGGCCATCGCCGAGCCGGGGCGAGGCGGCGCCTCCTGTCTAGGGTTCGCGGCGACGCGAGCCTGTCTAGGGTTCGCGGCGAGCGGCGAGCGAGGAAGCCTGCGGTTGCTAGGGACGGCGACGACGGGATTGCATCTGATCAGAGAAGAAGCGAACAAAAAATGAGGAATCCAACCGGACCGGATCGGAATTCGGAAGGGCTCTACACTACCACCACTAGACTAGAAATTTATTCGATTCCGGGAGTGTGGAGTGGAGTGGAGTGAGTGGGAGAGGAGTATAGAGAGGAGGGAGGAGGGAGGAGGGAGCGGAGAGGCGTATGACCCGCCCGCCGCCCGTTGCCCTCCGACCGACCCTTCTTCCGGTCCGGCGGTCCCCCTTTTCTCCATTTTCTATACTAGCGCTAGTATTTTTCAACGGAGGAATCGTGTTTAGAAAATCAGCACCAGCCAACAAAATTTTTTTCTTTTTATTTACACGACTGTACCCTTGCATGAACGAAAATATATCATGATAATTATAGTTTTCATAGTATGGTTTCCATTCACGTGTGTTATACCGTAACTTAAAAAGCGAAGTGTTAGTGTGAATCTTCACAATATTCTTTGTTAGCCCACCATCATTGTTGCATGAGTGATAATGAAGCAAGTACGTCTATAACTCTGACTTTAATATTGGATTGGGTTCTACTCGTACAAGTCTTTAAACTGCACCGACAGATTAGGCTTCGCCACGTTTCCTCCTGCATCTTATTGGACAATCTCGGTTGCTCCATAGGCAATGGAGAGTAAATAACGAGTAAGGGCATCTCAGGAGTACCCAAAAATTTAAATTTGTTCTTAAAACCATTGAGTTTTTTAAATCCCCAAAAAATGTTGGGAGCATAAAAATAAATATAAGCATCTGTATAGTTTTGGAACAACGTGGATGTGATAATTCCATTGCTATTTTTTTATGAGATCGTCCCAGTCTTTGGTTGTGAAGATGGACTTGTTCTCCTCTTTTGTTTGCTAGTAGGGATTGAAAGGAATATGGGTGATGATGTTTTTAACACCGTGAGCAACAGTTACCGGCAGCTTATGATTGGGTGATATTATTTTCTATCATGTTCATCTCCTTCACGCGAATAGATTCCAATCCGGCGCCACCCGCTTCGATCTGCCCGCCTCCTCTACCCGGGCCTCTCTTCCTCCCACCCAACTTGGCTTGCCTCCTCTTGGCTGAGGTGCCCTCCACCCCTCCAACCGCCACAAAAATAAAGCTCACCCTTTTTGCCAACGTGGATGAAGCCACCCAAGCTCCCACATCGTCCCTCCGATCGTGGCCGAGGTCACCCCAACAGAGCTTTGACGTTGTTCTCCCTTCACGCGATCGCCCACCCGCTCGCTCCGCCTCCCCTACCCGGGCCTCTTCCTCCGAATGAAGTCAATAGATGCGAGCTCCCATGTCGCCCCTCCGATTGTGCCGAGGTCGCTCCCTCCATCGAGGCTCTGAGGTCGCCTCGTTTGCCCAATAAAGGTCGCCATGCCACCGCCCACCGCCCCGAGTTTGCTCCCTTCTCTCGGCAAAGTCAACAACCACGACAAACACAAACGGAGAACGAAAACGGCATGCAAGAGGGATGAGCCCGTCCCCTCGTTTTTGAGGGTCGGAGACAACCTCCTTTTTATTTCTTGGAATATTCTTTATAGGGGATGGCTCTGTCCTCAATGGTGCTTGAACCAAACACCCTTAAAAAGGGATCGACCTATCCCGACTCACCTTATCCCCCGAACCAAACACACTCTAAACCCTCTAGAATGTCACGGAATATACATCTAGAGTTAACGGATAGCAAACCTTATTTGATCATTACCTCACCTCTTGTTATTTTAAAATTCCCTTTGTCTTTTTTTTTTTTAATTGTTTTTTTACCCAAGGTTTGTATAAGACTCTTTAATTCTTATTTAATCATACACAACCACACCCCTCCAGTTCCTTTCAAAAAAAAAAGAATGCCACATGATTGGGTAGTTTTACTTAGATGAACTGGTTGAATGTGAGATAAATTATGTTTACGATCTCAAATTACTTAAACCTCTATTTACAACAGCATATGATAATTGCTTAAGTTTGACCAATCTTTACTACTGTTACTACTGCACACAATATGGAAGAAAGTGTTTTTAGTCATTTCCTTGGCTACATGTTATTCAGCCATAAAAATGGGATTTGTGCCTTTAGGCTCAACAAACAAACAAGCCCATCATCACTTGTCAGCTCAAGAAAAGGTAAACCACATTTCTAACCCAACTAGAGCAATGCTCTGTTCGGCCCACTAGGAAAGTAGTGCGTCGGCCGTATGGCTTGCAGCCTTGCAGGCGTTCATCAATTGTTTTTTCTCCATTGCCTTTAATTTGTCGTAAAAAACTCAAAATGAACATAAACGTACAAAATGCAATTTTCCTAAAATAAATAAATAATAGATTCCTCTAAAAGAATAAACCAATACCTTTTATGGGAGTACGTCTATGGTCCGGGAGTAATAAACAAGATGAAAACATTTCAATGTCATTTATCATTTTTTCATGATTTGAGATACATAGTAACTGTAGCTGCTATTGTGGTCGAACTTAATTGTAAGAACGTATTTTTGACTTATTGGGGTCTGTTCGCTTTGAACTTATCAGCCGGCTTATCAGCTAGAATTTACAGTATTTTTCTCTCATAATAAATCAGTCAAGACCGGCTTATCAGCGGGCTTTAATAGTAGCGAGGCTAGGATTTATATAGATATAAAAGATTGTCTTAGTAGTATTCTCTTGTGGCCTGTGGGAGCTTGAATATTTGAAATCTTAGTTACGTCATTTCCTAATTATATGTTCTTTACCGATACGTTTCTGATTTTCGTTTCTGGCCTTCTAAATTTCAATTTTGTTCGGTTTAGGTAAAAAGACGTGCAAGTGCAAGTAGTAGGAGACCATTTCACCCCTTAGGGTCAGACGATGCCTCACATAAGTCAGGTTCGTTTTTCTTATAATCCGTATTTTTTTAGCTTATTTTTTCCGAACTGTATTTTTTTCTCACAACAAATCAGTTGAACAATTTTTCGGCTTGTTTTTTCAGCGAAGCGAATTGGGCCAGAATATTGCCCGTGTCTTCTCTTAAACCAATTTTCAATCAGCCTGTTCGCTGGTTGGTTTCTGGGCTGATAAGCCCGGCTTGATGCTAGTTTATTGTGAGAGAAAATACTATACCATAGTTAATAAGCCATGGCCGAAACCAATAAGCGACCAGCTGAGTAGCTGGCAACTGGCATCTCCATGCAGTGCAACTGTCCGGCACACATGGAATTTATGGCGCCGTTCCGCTGGTAAGAAAACCAGTCGGAATTCACTGTTTACGTCTGAATTCATTGTTCATGTTCTCACAAATTTCTTCAGATTCATCCAGATTTCTTCAAATTCCTCCCAGCGAACAGAGCCAATGCTTCATGATAATTGAGATTGCAAGGTATTACTACCCCTATTGTGATGACCCTATTAGGTCCCGTTTGATTCATTATCTGCTAATATTTTTTATCTAATATTAGCTAGCTAACTATTACCTGAAGGGTGTTTGGACGTATGTACAGCTAATGAAAAATGCTACTAAGGTAACTATTAGCTGCTTATTATCTGATTTGATTCAACTAGTGAGATAGTTACTATCTAGAGGTCCAACTAACAATTAGCTATTTCATTAGTTGCATATGTTTGATTCAAAAGAGATAACTATTAGCAGATAGCTACTATCTATTGGGATCCAAACATGACCTTAGATTCATTAGCTGCTGCTATTAGCTGGCTGGTTTAACCTAACTAGTGAGATAGTTGTTTGTTAAGTAGTATTAGCTAACAATTAATTGGATTAATTGGACCCGTTTGAATCTAAGAGCAAGGAACTCCAGCATTTTCCTATACTAACTTTAAAAGTTTTTGCATTGGGAACCTGTATTATTTCTAACCAACCAAGCCTTTTTTAATAGTTTCTTTGTCTCTCATCGCTTTCTCACCTGAAATACTTTATTATTTATTTACTTATGCGTCCAATTTACTCTGATCTCTCGAGAAAAATGTCGGATGAGCGGATAGGGAGTTTCTCTTGGCTTTGGAAACTTATGAGTTGGAGAGATATTTGATATTTTTTTGTTTTTAAAAAGCTCTTTTACCAAACTATTGGAGGTGATTTTCTTCTTTTTGCTAAAAAAAATAAAGATAGAAAGTTATTTTACAAAACAACTAGAGATGCTCTTGAAGAGCTAAAATTATTAGTAGCTATCTATTAGCTTTATAACATGACAAATGACAATCATCAGATTTACAGGATATAGAAAGCAACGCAGCCTCGAAACAAAGCATTTGCCAGACAAAAAACAACAACGCCACAATGCATATATAACATATACCGCGTCAAAACAAATTAAACAATGGAGTGGCTTGTATTTATGCATGTACTCTCTCAGTTCCAAATTATACGTCGTTTTGACTTGTTTTTTTGTACATAGAATTTACTATGTATTTCGACATACGTTATATCTAGATACATAGCAAAATGAATGTATCAAAAAAATCAAAGTAACTTATAATTTATAAAGGAGCGAGTATACTACGTAGGAGCACTAATAACAATCGTCCCATAGTAATAACAAGAACAACAAGAGATGGAATTGTTATGGCTTACATTATTATTAACCTGCTGCATACATGCATACAAGAGTCAGACTGACAAATTTAAGCATCGAGTTTACTAATAAAATTAACCACTCCATGACTCATCTCCACGCATACTCAGGTGATAACAGTAGCAGACAAATTAATTAATACACCAGCTAGAGCTAGTAATTACCATGCAAGGGGTGGAGGATGAGACATGATGCATGCGGTCAACCTGCAGATTATTACCATGCACGTGGATGTAGATGTAGGGGATCGATACTATAGATCGACCAGATAGATGGATGATATTGATGCAGCTCCGAAATCAAATG